TTGCAAGTAATACTTATTTGCAAAAATATATTTCAAGCCATTTAGAACCATTTTTTTTTGTACAGCATTTTGTTTTTGTTTATTATTGTTGTCAGTATTAACAAAATATATTAATGCCGTACACAAATTTTTCACCGTGAAGTCCTACCTTTCAGAGGGAAATTAATTTTCCTATAGTAAGCACATGTTTCATGAAAAATGTACGGCATGGCTAAAAATGTCATTGTTTTATAAAATAGAATTAAAATTAGAGAATTTGATGTTGGTTCAAATCACCCCCATACGCTACTTACAAATAGAGAGTTGCGCCCTACATTTCTAAACCCCTGTATCAGCAAATACGTAATGCGTCACTAAAAAAGTTATCTACAATCCAAAACTTGCAGTATAAATGCCGTACTGAAGTAAATCACCAAAAACCGCATACCAAATTTTTCAGAAAATCTAAAATTTTCCTGGCTTCCGATATTGCTATTTTTGTACGGCATTTGGTCGAGGTTCATATTTTTGTATAACCTATATACTTTAGAAATGCCGTACAAAAATGTTTTGCCGAAAACCACCCCCCTTGGTGGACAGGTTTAGCTTATCTGGTGTACTCAATTGTACCAACAAAAATTGACGGCATAGTTTCTAAAGTTATTGTTATATGTGGTAGAATTGATTTATAAGTAATTCATGCTGGGTCAAGTGACCCCTTGAAAATTTCCGATGGGCTTGTAGTCTATTATGTTCTCTTTGCTTTTAAAATTTGAAACAAGTTCGTGATGGTATTATATTTATTTAGCCATTGAAAAATAATTTTCTTAATGTAAAGGTAAACAAGACAAAAATACACCTGGCTCTAAACTTATAATTTGTTGTTTTAAGTTGTCGTGATATAGAAAAGCTCTTTCAGGAGTCTATATAAGACCAGATTTACGGCTAAAAGCGTCTAAGTAATATTCCTCGAACTTTTCCCCGGTTTTAATAGATTTATGCTTTAAAGCTGAAGCCTTGCAAGTCACGAAAAATTAAGGAAAAGTTCTCATAAGCATATTTCTCAAAACGGTCAGACAGGAATCACGCCGCCTAAGCTCACCAACTATATGACGATTCATTATGAAAGTTTTAAGCTTTACTAAAATCCGAAGAGTTCTTTGAAACATGAGGACTTTTATTGAAAGCGTTATTACTCTGTGCTTAGCGATAATTCAAAGTTTCAAGTAGATGTTGAACATTTACGATGTAAAAAATTTTAGAAACAATAAAAAGCTGGACGCTGTTAACATATATCCAAAAACGGCTTTCGGACTGAGGGGTGTTAAAGTTTTTGTAATAAAAAAATTTGTTTATATCTTCGGGTTGACCAAATCAGTTCAAATTTGGTACATAGTATTACGTAATAAATCAACACCACTATAATATAGCTTTGATATAGGATCTTTATCTTTTTTCTCGCAATACTTCTACGCCACTGAAATTTTCGAGAAAATAAAAGCATTTTCTGAAAGAGTGGGATAAATTACATTAAAAAAACAGTGTCAAAATTTCAAAACATTCTGAACATGAAAAGACACGCTGCCGGTATATTGTGAAAGAATGTTGTCGCACACCCAATATACTGGGTGTTAACGAACTTGTCAATTATTTTTTCCACATGTCCGTTATGTCAAAATACATCGATTTGTGTTAAGTTGTAGTATAACAACCCAGGGTTCGATAAAAAAAATCAAATATAAACGTAGTTGTGGCCAAAATATGTGATCATCATAAGGAATACCTACGTTGTATACATCTATTTTTTTTATTGACCGGAAGGCGCTGGCTACTAACTTTAAAGAGGGGAAGTATGGTTTAATTTTATAAAACAAAAGCAGAGTAAATACACCTAACTTTATTATTTACGTACAACAGTCTTCAAATTAAACAAGTGACAAATAGAAAGAACAACAAAAACATTAACAACCATTTAACATAAAATGAGAGTGCCACGCTCACCTAGAGCTCCTGTGGGGAAAGAGCATGGCAGAGAAACCCACGATCGTTGCTCTAACTACCCAAATATAAATACAAAACAACCGCTAACAAAAGGCATAAATTAAGATCCTTTGCTAATGATAAATAAGACCCGACTTATTTAATTTCTCACTAAATGTCACCTCACTCGAATTAGACATACACACTTCCAAGTAAAACTGAAGAGGTTTGGTGTTAGTTAGCCGGCAGGGCCGGAAGGTACTGGAGTCCCATACGGGAGGCAATCCAGCTATAGTTGAGATTTCGGAAGATCCTTCATAACACTGGAGTCCCATACGGGAGGCAATCGAGCTTAATCCAGATTCGTTCCGCACGGGCGAAAATGTTAGTAAACTCAACAAGGCTCGTATAGACGTATGACATAAAGTGAGCACAAGAAATCAAAGAACAACCTAATCATGATAAAACAAGTTAAATGTGAAACAAAGAAGTTGTTATTGCAATATCTGGGCAGTCACGACAATATACATATTTTAACATGTAATAAATAATGAGCAATCTTTAATAATAATTGTAACAATTTTATCTTAGAAAAATATACGCCCCTGAGCGTAAGACAATGAAGGCTAAACATATACAGAATTATTATCATGAAACATCTATATTTTACGTATAACGTAATCGTGGCAAAAACAAGTTAGATGTGAAACAAAGAAGTCGTTATTGTAATGTCTGGCAATCAGGACAATACATATATTTTTAACATGAAATAAATAATGGGCAAACTTTAAGTATAATTATAACAATTTTACCTTGGAAAAATATATGCCCTTGAGCATAAAGCAATGGAAGCTAAACTTACAAAGAATTATTATCATGAAACATCTATAATCATCACAATCATAAGATTATATAGAACAATTAACAACAAAGTACTTAAAGAATATTACCTGCTAACTAATACCGGTTAAACACTTAATTTTCCACTACTTCTATATTTTCCACACTACACTGATCGTCTTACTTTTCACTCCGCGCTGTTCTCACTTCAACTGCCAAGCTTCCTTCTAGAATTTCCCACCCAGGCGTTTGCTTTTTTGCGCTTCCTTCTATTATTCCGACCGTTAATATTACTTTTTCATTATTGTGCAACACCCAGGTAACAGGTGACGTCGAAGTTGATAAAATAAGTATGGTTTTGCACAAAGTAAAATGTAATTTTAAAATCTGATTTACCTCAACATTGCAAGGAGCCATCTTTTGAGAACTGCTGATTTTCATGGAAGATGTTCGATCTACCTACCATTTGCTTGCACACAAGCTTCAGTGCGACTTATCCAATTCGCTCGCGCGCGTTGCCGCATTGCCACGTCCTCTCGAATCGTATTACAAGCTTCGGCAATACGATGTCGCAGTTGGTCGATGTCACGAACTTTCAATGGAATATACAACACTTTTCACATATCCCCACAAAAAGAAGTCCAAAGGGGTGAGTTCCGGAGACCGGAGGGGTCATCTAACTAGGCTACCGCGGCCTATCCAGCAATCGGGAAAAATAATGTTTAGATAGAAAGTCGCGCACTCTCCGAAAAAAGTGAGCGGGGGCTCCGTCATACAGTAACCACATATTTTGCCGAACATTTAATGGCACGTCTTCCAATAACTCCGGCAAGCGATTTTACAAAAATCTAAATATGAAGCACCGTCTAAGCGTCTAGGCAATTCAAAAGCTCCTATTAAAGTGTCATTAACGATACTGGCCGACATGTTCACTAAAAACTGTTGCTTTAAGACACCGCGAAGTATTTTGTGTGGATTTTCGTCCATTGGTGAGTGTTGTGGACGTTGCATGTTCCTGAAGCAACAATTCGCAAAAATCTCGACATAGTGGAAAATCTTCAGGAGTAAGCGCTTGAACACGTTGAATGTGAAATTGAATATTCGCGATTGCTAAATAAATGCGCCATTTCCAAAAGAAAACTTGGAAATACAGCTATTAAATGTAGTCTCGAAAAACAGCACAGCAATCACTACAACAATGTATTACAAACTGACTTTCGAATACAGTTCGGGTTCATAAGAAACCTACAAACTCGCCGCGATAAAATACCTGTATTTCAGCAGTTCCAAAACAGTTTTAAACACATTTTTAATTAGATTTTCTCACTATGACTTGAAACTTCCGATACAAGTTTGTGACATCAATTAAGTCAGTTTTTGCTCCATTTTTACCCCTTTAAATTTGGACATAAGTTCATTCACACCCTGTATAAAAACTACAACATAGCAACTATATAGAAAATGTGACTTAAAAATTGTTACTTTCTACGGGTTTGTTCGAAACTAGTTTTCACTTCACTCTCACAATGATAGTGTTAATTTCGATACAGCGTCTACTATTTTTCTTATAACAAATGTAGGGTTTTAGAAAGACGGAATCATTTTCAATTACAAAAAATTAGCAGTTTAAAATAGACTAAGTTGGAAATAAGTAGATTTCCTAGAACCGGCTGAAGGACAATTTTTTGACGATTGTCGATATTGTAAAAAAAAATTCGAAAATTTTTTTTAAAAAAAAATTATTTTTTCGAAAATATTTTTTTTTTAATTTTTGTCTGTTTTTCCATGTATTTAACATTCTTTGATAAAAAAATATTACATTTTTTTTGTGATTAGTTTACTTACCGGACTATATAATTAAGGCTTTCTCAAAACACATCTGCAACACATTATTTTATTAAATGCTTATAAAAGTAGTTTTTACATTTTCCAGCGTTATAAATAGAAGCTGCAGACATCCAGGAACTGAAATTGAATCGCCAAGTACTTTAAGAACTTCCTTTCTTCGCTGTAACAAAACTAGCGCCCGTAGCGTCAGGTGCGTGGAAGAAGCGTCTCGCCTTCCCCAATTCGAATTGCAAATACGTAATAAAGTGTCGGCATCCCTCCCGCTATATCATAAAATATCCGATGCGATATGCCTCGCATCACCTTTCCTAGAAACGAATTACCATCTAACGGATTTTCTCTTTTTTTTTCAGCCTCTCGTATTCGATACGAGATCACAAGCGGTAACATAGGTGGCGCTTTTGCCGTCAAAAACATGACAGGAGCCATCTACGTAGCCGGAGCACTGGACTACGAGACCAGGAAGAGGGTGAGTAATTAATTATTGGGTCCCAGAGACACTCTCAATCTACAATGTGTCCGATATAATAATGGAGTTCTTAGGAGGCCGACGGACGGTATAAGTGATTAATTGCAATGCGTTGCGTAGCTCGTTAGGTGTGACATTCCACTAATTAAGCCTGGTTTAGGTACATTGGTCGCTAACTATTACGTCTCAAGTGTATTTACTCCTCAAGGAAAAAATCTATATATTAATTAAACCATTTTTATATATCTACATGAAAAAATATATTAAAAATGTATGTGAATTGACTAATTTAAAAATACGATAATAAAAACAATTTACGGGAGTTTCAGTAGAAATACAACGTGTCAAAAGTTCAGAAAGTGATCTATTTCCTATGCCCAAACACCATTTTTTTAACTGATCATCGAGACTTATGATTGTTAGCCCAGTTACTGTAGCTGAAAATATATAGTAATATCTCCGAATGTTTTATAACAGCATCGATTTTTCTCAAAATTTAGAATTAAGCTCATCTTACCCCCCACTTCAAAACTTATATATGCGCTAGGTGTGCTTTTTGTTCTTAAGGGGTGAAAACCACCCCTTATTGGAAGAAAAATAAAAAATACAAATTTAAGCATTTTATGTAATCAAATCTTTTTTATTTATGCAGTATGAGTAATTTCATATGGTATCTAACATGAAACTTAATGTTTTCCAAATTTTCAACTCGGAAAAACCTTTAAAAACCACCCCTTTGGATAAAAACAATTTTTTCAGCTTGAAATGTTTTAGTCATGCATTTTTATCAAATTAAAATTGATTTCTTGATTAGGAAATATTTTTTTCGATTGTAACTTTTCAACCCTTGAAAAATATCCCTTCTTTCGAAAATAAAATGAAAAAATATTATTGAAAGAGTAGAAACATTTTAAATGTGCATTTGTATTAAATAAACATTTATTCCCTTATAAAATAATTTTGAATTGATTGCAACTTTTGAACCCTTATTAATTAATAGTTTAAATAGGTTACTAGACACAGGGTCTAACGACACTTAGAGTGTACAATAATTCAATAAACATAGAAATCTAAATAAAAAAATAGATAAGTTTGGAACGAATACACTGAAGATGAATTTTTCGAGACAAAACGTCTGAATCTGGTTCGGGCTGAGGCAGTACAGTATTGGGGGTCATGAAGGCTTGCAAAAAATTTAATAAAATTTACAGGTCGTATTTATGAAGTTGATGATGGTCCTGGAGAGACGAAACGTTACATATAAAAATTGATTATGCCATTCGATAGAGGACAAAAAGTGTTATTTTTTCAATATCACCTCAAACAAGGCTGAACTGAAACAAAAACGGATTCCCAAAATTTCGGTTTTTTCAAATATTTCGAAAACTAATCATGTTAGCCTTGATTTTTTTGAGACATAATGTTGGTCCCCTGATTACGCAATTTTGCCCCCATTTAAGCTAATTCGTATCTCTTACCGTTTTCGAGATCCCTGTAGTGAGAAGCGAATTTGTAACACCCTGTATATATGCGTATGTGTGTGCGTGTGTGTAGAATAGTGTGTATTATAATATAGTACTAAATAGTTTATTCAATATACACATACTAAATACGTATATATACAAAAAAGAAATTTTGCAGGGAAATGTAAGGGCTACGTAAACTGTTGAATTGATCTTTTTTAAGCCCTTTATTTTTAAGTTTGAAGGGTTTAAAGGGCTCGAAATCTCATTCATGTGATAACTTAAAATGGCGATATCTCGATTAATATTAATTTTAGAGGAATAATAATAAATAAAGCAAAATCTTAAGCAAAAATAAAGCTAAATTTTTTTACTCTTGTACTTTTCTCCTACACACTTTAATTTTTAAGTTACAGCCTAAAAACCGATTTTTTTTTCAAAAATTTGAAAAATATCAAAAATTAAGTTTTTTTTCGAAATCATGGTTTGTAAGTGAGCCAAAGACCCAGAACATATTCTTAGAACATAAATGAAGAAATCTGTAAATGGATTGCATTTGATTTTCATTCTCTCGCCAAAGGCACTGATTTGTTTATTAATTTTTTTTAAAAAAGAACGTGAGACTGTCATGTTATTTCGATCATATTTCCGTTAATTTTTATTCTAAAGACTTTTAAAACAGCTCATTTTAAAGGTTTTTCAAAGTACTTTAAAAAAGGTTCAAATAGTATTTTCCTAATATTTATGGTTTTGACGTTATTTAACGTTAACTGGTTCCAATTTAGTTTTTAGCTAACATATAATAATGTTTAAAAATCCATAACTCGGTTTATATTGCAATTAGAGATAAACAATATAATGCCATTAGATTTGTTTTTTATTACCTTTCTTTTTGTTCATTACAACTTTTTCGTTAAATCCAATGGTATCAGAGTTATTTGCAAAAAACTGTCCGAAAACAAGCACTTTTTCAGTAAAAAATCAATCACCCCAAGGCAAAAGCACACTTTGGCACTATATACGTTTTATTCCTTGAGGCATTCCCCACATTCAATCAAAATTTCACGTCAATCGGTTCAGTTATAATGAATTCGGAGGTAAAAATCCTGAGTAACTGGACTAATTGCGCTATCATTATACAAATCCAGCTCTGTAATAATTTAAATACTAAAATAATTGTAAGAATACAATTCGAGATGAAAATAGCTATGAAATATCGATTTCATATTCAAAGACACGTGAAATTGTAATATAACTAAATGGGAAAGATCAACCATTCAACCATTAATCCGTATTTCTAATCCAACCGGCCTTCCAAGTACTCCACTTTTACAGTCGGACACAGGCGAAATTTGTGTAATAAAATATCTCTTTCAGAAATCTAAGCTTGTGAAATCCTGAATAAATTTGATTTATGGACAACATAAAGTCACTTTTATGTATTTCCATATAGAACGCGAGACACACACACATCGCATTGCACTACTGCGATTTTTCTTTAGATCGCAATAACTTCCGTAAATATTTACGAGAGGACTGGTTCAACGGGACGTTTGAGATTTACGAGCAAGTTACAAACCATGTTTATTCAAGAGCAACAAATTAAATGAATCCCGTAACTTAATACCATTCGGATGACTGATTCTTAAATTTCTGTTTGCTTCCTGATTAAAACTTACCTAATCGTACTGATCTATTGCTAACTCTCCATGCAATATCCCACTTCTGACGGGATAGAAGAATCGTAAAATCAAAAGTGTGCTCTGTACGTTCAATACACAATGTAATTTTTTGGAAGCAAATAAGCCGTTGATCTATTGCTCTCAATAATCTTAAAAATACTGGTTGATAGAATGTTTTGCTGAATCAGATAACATTTCATTATACAAATACATGCAGGATAATCCAGGCTTAATATATTATATCGTATATTTCGATTCGGTGGATTAGTGCAGCTCCACACTATAGAAACGAATAAATAAAAAGGAACGGATTAACATGTCATCAAGATAATTGGGTGTAATCCATACATTGTTCCACTTGCAGCTGAATTTGTTTTGTGTAGGAGTCTTAGCTCTCGTTTTGGGTCTGGGCGTAATTTGCCTGAAACCAGACGTACTAATTTCTGTGGATGTGGTGAAATATGGCGCCTTAGGATAGCGATAAAAGCCGAACTGCGTTATCCTGGTTAATAATTCGTGGAGCCGTTCGTCTGAAATTAACTACCGCTGTCTTACTAACCGTTAAGTAGCGTTAGCTAGAATGTAGCATTTCCATATTGCAAATGTTCGTACTGTTTTATTTCTAGTTCGTGACGTATTGCGGAAACTCGCAAATTAGACGCATTGTCTAAGCATGTCTTATATAGGGTGTTACAAAAAAGTATAGCACAATTTTTGATGTGCCATTTTTAATTTAAGCGACGCCATTTCAAAAAACAGTGCTAAAGTTACCACCAATGAAGCAAAGACAACAGTAACAGTAGTTTATTCTCCCAACTATGGTTCAAAGGTATTATTTTTAAAACCAATCGGTATCTTCTTATTTATTTATTTATTTATTTTTACTTTGATAAACTTTTGATTTAGAGCTTGATTTCCAAGGTACAACAATTTCTTTGGATATGTAAAGACTCGACATGCTTCTATAAAAATTGATGTATTTTTAAATATCTATAGATAAACATTCTCTTAATTTGTTTAAAATTCAAATATTAAATTAATTTGAAACCAAGATTTTAATTTACTTGGAAATTTAATGTTGAAAATCTTCCTGAAGTTTTTGTTTTACTGAGAACTAAATATGTTGGAAAACTTATAATTTTAGCCTCCTGCAATTTCTGGTCACAAATGTCATATTTTTCTGCTAATCACACATAAAACAAAATTCAAAAATATTAATTACAAAGCTAATTTGGCTGCTACAAACACATCCTAATCGATGTCACCCAAGGAAATTTTTGTAAAGCTTAGTTAATTCAAAATTGGTCCAAAACACAACTCATTTGATAATGATTCAAGCAAAATACTAGATCGGGGAGGTAATGAGTATACCCCCCTCCTTTCTATATCGCGCTTCATTGTTTCATTAAAATTTTTATCAGAATCAAGTTTTTAGTCACAATTAGATAATGTTTTGACAAGGGATAACAGTATATGCAAAAATTCTACTTAATGTCTCAAACAAAAAACAACATAGTGATTAATATTAATAAAAACATGTATTATTATAGCCCAAATAATCTCCTACTGTTTGTAACGCCCTGTATAATCTGCATACGATAATTGTTTTAAGTATTAAAATAAATGTGACATTTGATCCTTTTAGGTAATATTTGTTTTTTGTCTGTAATTCTGATTTAAGTCTACACCTGTAATATTTCTGAAACTGAAAATATTAATATTTCAATAAGGAATTCAGTAATTAGGTACACATTAAAAACGTTGAAGATATGAAGCCTTAAAAAATCAGTTAAAAAATTGCACTCTAACAAAACTGAAAGACAAATATTTAATAAAGCCAAATCTGCTTGCAAAT